GTTTGTTTCGATAAACATTGTGATACGGCTTCGCTATGAGTTACTCAGGCACAGGCAAGGAGAGCACCTTGCACCTGCAAAGACTAAGCCGAATTTTCATATCTGAAACTAAGCAAAGTGCAAGCTGGTGACTCACAGACAATGTAGGCTGCTACAAGAGACATTTTGGTGGCAGCGAGCAGATATGCAAGACACTAAATAGTTTTCTCCCAACAAGGCCGTCAGAGGCTGGAACTAGTGTGGCCATTTCTCTGAGCATACCCCAGCTGAGGCCAGGTATCATGGCAGAGCAGACTCAACTACAGCTTCCAGCTCTTGAGGCTGTTACTAGTGCGACATATAAAAAGGTGTGACTGTAATAGCATTTACCTTGACAGAATCCGTAAACAGAAAACCAAACATACACACTTGTATCTGCATATGCATGTGCGTGTGCTGCATGTATGTATAATACAATGCGTGGTGCTGGGGGGAGGCACAAATCACCTAGGGCAACATCTAAAGGGACAGAGGTAAATGACTACAGGTATGTAACCAGTACTGAGGGAACACACAGCAGTTAAAAGCAAACTTCAGTTCAGCTGAGCACAATTCAATTGTGTTATTTCCACCTTAAAAAAAGGCATAATAAAAACCTCACAAAGATGATATTTAACATCCTTCTAATCCAAACTATTCTATGACTCTGTGACTCTATGTAGTCACTTTAAATAAATCATACAAATTTCCAAAATTTAAATTCTTTATTATCTAGATTCAAAAGCTTCAAACAGCTTCATCGAAGATTATTCTTGATTTCTCAGCCTTTCTAATATTTTTTACTACATGTGGCTTTCAAATCACATACACTGCAACCCAAAATTCATTTTGCATAGAGACCAATCCACTACAGAATAGAGTGCTGACCCCCAAGTACTCCTATGGTAAGGCCATCCAAAGCACCTGTCCCGTGCCTATTTGTCCTCAGGCTTTGAGGCTTACATACATTCATCCTTCTGCAGCTACATATCTATTCTCATTCCTTCAACAATGGCAACAAATACATTTAGGTGATCAAGTTTCCTTAGGACTAGAAGTCCAGGAGGTATACATGCTCATGTGACCTTAGCACCTGCCGCTGTGAAAAATCAACAATACATCCACCAACAGATGAGTGACACCAAAACTCCATGTTTTCTGTTTAAGAAAGTTACAGGTTTTTATTTGAACCCATTTTCAAAAGCAGGCTAAAAGGATGAGACCATTCAAGGAAGCTTAACTGTGACAGCATCTTTACAGTAAATCTCCACACTTGCCATAAAGCAAACACATCATGAAATATGCACATCACAGAGATGTTTTATATTTTATATATGATGAATAGCCAAAAAGCTATCAGATTTAAGTAAAGGAAGAATTATCTACAGCTGCATTGAAGTTCTTGTCTCTTCTCCCTTAAGCCCCGTGTCTCCCACTATCACAGGAAAGGAAAAATTTTGCCTTCACTTGACTACTACTAGGAGAAAAGTTTCATTCTTCCGTGCAGCTTTCACAACAATTTCTTTGTTATCTCTGAAACACATCTTGTTCTTGGCCTCTGCTTTCTCTGTGCAACACCAGTCACTATCGGCACTCATTCACAACCAACAATGAAGCAGGTCTGGCAGAGCACATCCCAAGTGCTTCATTCAAGGCAGCCACACCATGGGAGTTCATGGGGACTTTGCTCCCTTAGAGTTCATAAAGCAGAGTTTTTGACAAGAAAGTCTGGAATAAACTACTTTATATGTATGAGTGAGAACAATTTTACCCACTTAAATAAGCTACTGATAATTTTATGGTAATACCTTTAGCTTACATCCTTATTTAAAAAGCAATTTTTAATGTTTTTATTCAGAATAAATTGGATGCTATTTCAAGCTCCTAACAGATAATGTTGGCACTTTTGAACTTCTTTATTCATAAAATATGAAAAAGCAGTTCAACATCAGGTATTAAATCAGGACAGTACATATTCACAAGCATTAGAGCAGTTAGACCTCATTTTCTAGGTGAGAGAAACACAGCCTTGCCACTGTGCAGAAAGTGCACATTCTTTTTAAGTTCTTGTGTGTTCCATACATTTTGTGTATAATTAGAAAGGTGCCTTATTGCACTTATGAATATGCAAACCCCAACAAGACCAAGTGTCTCAAAGTTTTATTTCAGGGAAAAAAAAAAAAAAATACCGCCTCTTTCTCAGACTGCGTCACACCAGTGCACAGTGTACTCCCAGCCCTAAGTCAGTGCCAGGCTCTAACGCGAACCCGCGCTCCCTCTGTCAGCAGAAAAGTCCGTTGCTAATCTGTGCTCATCTCCGGAGCGATGTTCCTCCTCTGCGGGGCCCTCGGCTGACTCAGGATTCGCTCCCAGCCCCACGCCTTCACCTACACCATGTCCCCAGACCATGAGCAAACCAACAGCTCCCAAACTGGAAAAAAAATAAAAATAATCCTTACTCAAGATGAGCCGTGGAGAAGTGATGATAGCCAAGGCAAACGGGCTGCACGCCTCAACCAGATCGGTTATAGCATTGACACCCAGTGGCTGCTGGTAACTAAACTTGAAAGTGTGTTTCAGAAATGCCACGCTTACTTAGTTTAAGTGCTAAATTCTGCAAGTATGTAACTTTCAGGGCAGCCTGGCAATGATGCAGCCAAAGGAAGGCATGAGAGCAACGTGAATCCAGTACATAACACAGTGACTATTTAATTATGGACAGAGAGTACATTCGTATTTACCTGTCAGAAGTGGCAGGGTACGTACTGCACTGTACCAGAGGGTACTAGAGCCAAAAAACATACCAGTAACAGCTCTCCCTGTCATAGCAGAGGTATGTGAGCATAGGAAGAGTTCTATCGGGGGAGGTGTGCAAGACTTCTTCCTTTCTGAAGCACCACAGGACGAGCAGCAATAAAAATAGGAAGAGCCTAACAAGTTATACAGCTATCAGTGTTTCTTATTTGTTCGCTTGAATTTGGGAGTTCTTTTATTTTGGTTTGTTCGGCTTTTAGTTCTCTTCCACTCCTTCTGAAAAGGCACTTAAGGAGACTAAAATACCACTGGAAAAAAACCCCAGCATTTCCAAGTGACAAGTTACCTTATTTAAAAGTTGTCAACTATCAATCACTTCACTCCTATTAAAGTTTTTCATGACAGATGTCTTCAGACAATTATCCTTAACATTTTTTTAGTCAAACACATCGATAGAAACTAACAAACTACTTTTACAAGGCTTAAAAGCCTTCAGCAAAATGAATTACAGATTAATCTGCATTGTCTTAGCAGGATGTTGCTTACCTCCAAAAAAAAAAAAAAAAAACCAGAAATTTACAAAAATCGGATGTAACAGACATTCTTAGCAATGCAATTAAAAACACATAAATACAGGATTTGAGTTGATACTTTCTTTCCTTAAAAAAGGCAAATAATACAAATACTACAAAGCAAAGCAAAGAGTTTGGCTGGCCCTAACTGGAACTAAGTCACGAATACAGCAGAACGCGCCGATGCCGTGCTGGGTGCGTGCACCTCACGCATTTACTGCCATCATTTAATCCCTCGCAGGGCGGAGGAGGCTCTGCCTGTACGCAGACGGCAAAAAACTCGCTCTGACAGTGCTCTCACGCAACAGTGTCACGAAACGCAGCGCTGCTTGTGCCGCACACAGGGGCACGAGTGGGTGACACGTTCTCGACAGAGGCCTCGGAGAGAGAGGATTCGTTGACAGCAGCGTTAAGACTTTATCACCCACTGCGATACAAAGCTGGAGGGTACCACGGGCCTGGCACTGCCACACAACCCAAGCCGAAGCTTCGCCTGGCTCGCCCGCCCTCCAACTGTATGGGGAGCAGCCGGTGCCCACGGGGCCACCTGGGACGTGGCGAACGGGTCCCCCGGGAGCCGGGGTGGCAGCGCCTCATCCGGCCCCACTGCCTGGCTCTGGGCAGCACGGGCCGCTCGGCTCTGGCCGGCGCGGGGCTGAGCACAAATCCCGGCCACCAACAGGTTGCTCCCACTACCCTGCTGCGACGGCAGGAACTGCGCCGCGGGAGGGAGGGAGAAGCTCCGTCTCACCACGTAACACAAGAAAGACGCTCCCGCAACCCAAGTTTAACAAAGCCATCAGGACAAATGCTGCGGCTTACTCATTAAACACATGGTATTTCTGCAACCCTTGTTCTGCCTCCGCTCTTTCCCCATCCCTGTTTGCCTCTGTCCCCGCTCCGCCGCCCGACGGCAAACCCCTGCCGCGCCGGCACGGACCGGGGCCGGGCAGCCCCAGGGGCCGCGGCGGTGCTCCCATGGCCACCCCAACCACACGAGTGTTGAACCCCGGCCCTGCCGGCCGCCCGAGGGGAGCAGGAGGCGGCAGCGCTCCCGCCGGGTTTGCCCGGGGACGGCGCCGTGACACCGCGTGAACTTTTGCTTTCGGCGGGGCAGGGCAGGAGGGGGGAGGAGGGCGGAGAGCGGAGAGCGGGGGGGTGGCTCCGGCCCCTCCAGCGCCCTACCGGCGGGAGGACTAGAACGCTATTTTTATTTTTTTTCCCTTAGGAGTTTTCCCTTTGGAAAGGTGGAAAAATAAGTAAAAATTTAAGGTTAAAATCAACGCGTGGGGCCGGACCACTGCAGGCTCCGCGGCGTGCCCGGCCGCCTGCAGCGCTGCGGCTCCTGCCTGCGCGGCAGCAGAACCTCCCGGTGCCCCCTCCGACGGGGCGTCCCCCACCACCCGCCTCTCACCTTCCAGCCGGCCGAGCTGTTGCTGTCGCCCTTATCCTTGAAGTAGGGGACGCTCTTGACCATCCACTCGTAGATCTGGGAGAGGGTGAGCCGCTTCTCGGGGGAGCTCTCGATGGCCTTGGTGATGAGGTCCGCGTAGGACAGGTTGCCCCAGGCATTGCGACGCGATGAGCTGCTCTTGCGGGGCTGCCCGGCCACGGGGCCTGGTGATAGACCGGCCACGGGCGGCGGCACCGGCGGCACCGGCGGCGGTCCCGGCGGGTGGAGGCGGCAGCCGGCCTCGGGCGCCGGGAAGTCCCCGCAGCGGCAAGCGGCTGCCTCCGGGGGAGCAGCGGCGGGGGGCAGCGACGCGAAGTCCTCGCTCTCCTCTAGCAGGCTGAGGTTGCTGATGAAGTCGGCGCTCAGCGCTCCAGAGGCGGCTGCCCCGGCCCCGGCCGCGGTCCCGGCCGCCCCCTCGGGCTGCCCGCCGCACGACGGCGCCGGGCTGGAAGTGGCCGAGCTGGGTGGGTTGAACTCCGGCCGAGGCAGAGGCCAGGTGCAAGAGCGGGGCCGCGGTAGCGGCTCGAAGTCGGGGTCGATGTCCACCAGCTGTGGTGCTTCGGCCATGGCGGGGCCGGGGCGGGAGCGCGGCAGCGGCAGCAGCAGTGGGGCGGCTGGAGCTCAGCGCCGCCGCCCCATGCAGGCTCCGGGCGTGGATCGGCGCGGCCCCGACGGCGCGGCCGCCAACTCTCCTGGCCACGCCGCCCTAAACCTCCGGCCTGACCTCCTGGCCCCGCCGCTCTAAGCGCTGCCCCTGCCCAGTTCCCGGATCCCTGCCCTCCGCGGCAACTGCAAACAGAAGCGACCCAGCCGCCCGGCGCACACCGACTGAAGCGACCGCCCCACGCGGACCCGCCTCCAACCTTCCTCCTCCTCCTCCTCCTCCTCCTCCCGGCGGGGAGGGACGGCCCGCGCCGCGCCAATGACAGCGCCGCGCCGCTCGCCCGCCTCCCGCCGCGGGGCCGGTTTGGCAGGAGGGTGCCGGTGCCCCCATGCTGTGTCTGGGTGGTTTTTGTTTTCCGGCGGCGGAGGGGGGTGAGAAGCGGCGGGCGGGCGGGCGGCGGTGCCCCCTGCGGCCGGGGCTGCCCAAAGGCAGTAACTGCTCGCACGGCGAACCGCGGGGGATTGCCACGGAAAATGCCCCCGCGAGTGTTTCTACCTCAGCCGCTGCCGGCGGGGTCCTGCCGCCCGCATCGACGGGCCCGGTGCCTGATGCCCCCGGGGATCAGCGGGGGCCGGGAAGCATCCCTCGGGTGCAGCGGGGCGGCTGGGGGAGTGCACGGAAGTGGGGAGGGGGTGTTCCCATCAGCATCCCCGCAGCGCTGGCTCCGAGCGGAGCGCTCCTGCTCCCCGTGCGCCCGCCCCGCGGGGGCCCTGGCAGCCCCCGCGCACGGGACCGGGGGCTGCGACAGCTGCCCTGGCTCCCTCCTTCTCTCCCTCCCTCCTTCCCAGGCCGGCTCCTCGCCAGAAAGTGTCTGCGCCTCACGAAGTGATAAACCTCCCCTTCGGCTGAGCGTGTTTTCATACCGTGAGTCGGTGTTTTATTCCGTGAGCAGTCGCGGGAGCGCGGGATAATTTCATTTTAAGTCAACTATTAAACATGCTTTTTATTTTTCCCGGCAAACGCCAAGGGCACGCGATTTATTAAAGCTTGTATTCCTCCCTTTCAAAGAGACAGCAGCTACAGGATCACACCGTCTCTGTCTCCCCAACCCATCAACATACAAAGATATATAGATATCTTTATATATAGATACATACATACATATATGTTCGAGGCAACTCGGAAGTGTTACTCTGTTTAAACTTAAAAAGAAGACATTTGCTTAAGCTAGGGAAACGATCCCAGGGATGAGGCACGACTCAACACCTTGTTCAAATTGGCAAACCCTACTTTTCATAAAATCTGTTTTGTTCTCAATAGGAGGAGTGCTTTTAAAAAACATATTTCAGACATGGTTTAGTAAGTGACAAAATTCACAACCAGCCATGGCATTTGATGTTGCTCGTCAAAGAACCACCGGAGCTGGGTAACTGTCAAAGCTGAGCCAGAAAACCTGTTACTCTTCTTCCCTTCTCTATGCATTGAGGCAGAGAGTGTTAATGTTATTTAAATGCAGTTCATTGTTCATATAAAAATATTTTCTGAGAATGAGTAACAATAATGAAGGAGAGAGAGTACAAGACTGGATTTAGGCCCACAGCACGTAATTTAGTGGCAGATCATACATCTAGATACACATGCTGTATATTATGAAAACACTCTTTAAGACGCACAATGACACCCAACTATATAGTTTGTGCAAAATATGCATGAGTGCATAGTAACTGCTCACATTTTAAAGCACTGTTTTTGTCATGTTTATTTTACCAAATGCCAAAGGTGATTATACCTTATTATAGGTTGGCTGCTTGTCAGATTTCAGAGTTGCTTTGCCTTTAAGTCACTTCTATGTTTTGTAAATCCTTTAAAGGATTCAACCCACAAGTTTATATTGTTTAGCCCACAGATTTTAGAAAACACCTTTTTTTTCCAGTTTTTTTTCAGATTAATAAAAAAAAAAAAAAAGAAAGAAAGCAAAATAGTCCCAGTTCAAGCTAATAACTTGCATGCCATGTTCAACTTGGAACAGCTTTATGTGGCAGTGTTACACAACTCGGCTGCAGTAGTTGCCCTGCAATAAGGGAGAGCACCCTGCCTAGGAGAAGCAGAGGTTATATAATGGTGAGAAGCAGCCAGGGACGTGCAGCGAATGGATGTGTTTAAATGGGAGCCAAAACAAAAGAAGTGCTCAAGAGCACAGAAACATTTCTTTTTCTTTCCTGGGTGCCTGAAAAACGATCTAAGAGCCAGACTGGCACCCATCCTGCTAAAGGAAATGGATTTATTACCCAGACTTTCTTCTAAGGACTTTTTTTTTAATCTTGTACTTCTTCCTCTTTTATTTTGTCAAAAGCAGAGATGTTATTCCCTGAACTCAATTGGTATACATAGATGTTGAAAAAAAAAGTAACTTTCCTTTGTCAGATGCCAACTGTGAAAACTAGGAAGAAAGCTACTGTTGCGGGATTTTAGGAAGCCCTGGTGTTGTTCATAGTTCAGCCCAACTCATTTTGCAGGACAGTGGTTGTACTCCCTTTTCTTGGCCCTACATGACATTGCTGCTGCTCACCTCACCTTCTTGGTGGGGCTCTGCCACATTTGTGCCCTATGTCACTGATATTCTTGCAGCTCAGAAATTAGTAGTGTATATACAGTGAGTACAGACAGCAGCTTGCAGTGAAGGATGAGGGGCTTGGAGGTAGAGAGGGTAAAACCCGAATCTTCCAAATGCTGCATTTGCTCGGCAAGTGGGTCCCCATGACTCACAACACAACGGGCAGGGCTGAGCTCTGCTGCAGGGATTTTTGACTAGTGCTTGTTGACAGCTGGGGCCAGGCCTGCTAAGGTTTGGAGAAAGGATTAAGGCCAATGAGACAATGATGTGCACTTTCCTGGGAAGAGTAATCCCGGCAGTTTACTCTGACTTTGGCAGAACTGCCCAGGTGAGTGAGTTCTTCTTTAAGGCCCCAGTCCACATGCACATGATTCCCCACTTTTCTTATAGGATTTCTTTTCTCCATCAAGTATTTGGGAATCAAATTGACAGGTTTTAGAGTCAAAGCAACAAAGTGACATGCATGCCATGCACAATACAAGTGTCTAACCCTGGTTGCACTGCTCTTCCAGTGCACTCCGACACTGTTGACCACCCTTAGGAGATGCCACAGTGAACAAACCCGCCTATTCAGCTGCTGAAGGGGAGCTTCCTGCTCCTAAAACAGCTCAGCACAGTTATGGCTCAGTACAAGAAATTTTCCTGCATCTACAAATGACAGCATTAGGTTTATCTCATCTCCCACAATGCTGAAATGCTGATGGATGCACCACAATTCATTTTCTACTCCCACCCTCCTCCTCCTACACTCCACCTTTTCGTTTCTCTACTCCTACTCCTGCTCCTGTTTTCCACTCCTCTACAATACCATGTCTCCTATCAACCTTAGCATCAACTTGTGCTCTTTTTTTCAAATTTAAGACCTGCAGATTGCCTTTTATCATCACTGGAATAAAGTGGAGCCTTCTATTCATATTCTGGGTCTGAGGAAGCCAAAATAAAGGATCTGTGCTGTCTTTTTACTACCCCAAAATAAAGGATCTGTGCTGTCTTTTTACTACTGTCTGTATAATTCACTTCCTGAGGTTTTGATCAAATTCAGCAGGAGATTACATAAAGTTGAAAGCACTCATACTCTATGTACAGCTCTTTTTTTCTGCATGTGTGTGCATGGTGAGAGAGTACAAATGTTTTAACAGAATAAAAAGCAACAATGAAATACCAATTTTTGCCTGGTGTCATAAGAGCTGTGGAAAAGCTCATTTTCTGAGGAAGGATGGGGAAGTTCAGCCCTTCCAGTTTCCTCCCATGTCTCTCAAGAAGGGACTGACTTTGGTTGGAAATGTGTGTTTCCAAGGAGCCTAGGTTATTGGAAGGGTGATGTGGGACCTAAATCACATCCCTTCCCAGCCCAGGGTAGCTGAGTGCTGCCCCACACAGGAGGGTTTGGACATGTCCTGGTTTAATAAGGCATTGGCATTGCCTTGCCAAGGGAGTTCAAAGTGTTTGAAGCTCTCCCAACCCATCTGAGGCTTCTTACTGAGCCACTGCAGAAAGGCAGTCCCTCTGCACAGCATTTCAGAGCAGGAGCTTCACTGCTATGTTTCCTCCCGAGGCTGCTCATCTCTCCCCACCAACCACACAAATCGCAAATGGAATTTAAAGATCTGCTAAACCCTCTCCACAATTTGGTAGTGCTAAGCTCCCACTCTCTTTCCCCCTGCCCTCTGCCTCCCATCTTACACAGCAGGACCCATCTGGGAGAGGTGGATGTCACATTTAGGATCACCCTGTGGTCAATGGAGAGAAACACATTCTCCCTGAGTGATTCACCACCCCAGATGGTGGATCTGACTGGCCACTGAGATGCCAGGTTCTTACTCCAGGTGGTTCCCACTCACTTTTAGCTAGCTATCAAATCCCACTCATCCCACTTTACAATGCACAGAAAATACATAATCTCTGATCCCTCTGTCATTGCATCAACAACAAGAAAAAGGCTGTGCCACACAAATCCAGGCTTACAGGCTAACTGGGCACTGCAGAGAGACAGCAAAAGAAAGGCAAGATGACTAGTCCTGCTTTTCAGGGGGGAAATGTGGCTACCATGAACTCTCATAATGTGCAGAGGACCTCAAAGAGAATGCATGGGCAGAGAATGACTTGGAAGCCAGGTCTACCAAGACCCAGTCCTTAGGCTTAAAAAAACTCATGTCAGCAAAGGGTTGTCAGGTACTTGATGGTAAGGGTTTTGAAATTACCTTGGTTTAGGTCCATCTCTGCCTACACATAGGCTAAAATCTTGAATACTCTCCTAGAGGCAGCAAGGCCTGCTGGATTTACATCTGTATGGCTAGAACTGGGGCCATGTGCTGACGGCACTGGTTGCCCACCTCCCTGGACATATTTCAGAGTTGAGAACTGGCAGATCCTCGAACAGTGTGGTGCAACTCCAGCCTCCAAAAAGCCTTCAGGGAGCCCACCTCTTCTTCTCAGAGGAGATGGGGAACTGTGCTTGGTGATGGGAGAGCTGCCCAAATAGCCAAATACCATCTCCTTCACCTCCTCAAAGCCTGCTGCAGGGAGCTGGGCTTCTGTGACCGGGGTTTGCACAGCAGCTGTTGCATCCTTCTCCTTCTCTCCGTCCTCCCACTTCTTCTTCTCCTTTCCCC